GAAGTACAGCACACAAAAGACAAAGGTTCCTACGCCCTGTTCTTTGACACCTCGGCTACAACGATCCAACCCTAAACCTACTATCTCTAATAAAACAGAGCTTAAACTTCAGATCTTCATTAAAACAGTTTGAAACTTTTCATTCTCGATAAGAAGTCCTCCTAACAGATATATTTTTACCTTGGCTGCAGTGCCCTGCATCCCTCAATGTTTCCCAGCAATATTCTCAAGTGAGATGCCATTCTCAAGTGAGTCACCATTCTCAAGTGAGATGGCCATTTTCAAGTGAGATGGGCTTCCTTAGTGACGATCGATGCCATTCTCACGTGAGATGCAACTCTCAAGGGAGATGCAATACTCAAATGAGATGCCATTAAGGGTGATGCCATTCTCAAGCGAGATGCCATTTCAATTGAGATGCCCATTCTCAGTGAGATGTGCTTCCTTAGTGAGATGCCATTCTCAAGTGAGATGCCACTTCAAGTGATATGCCATTACTCAAGTGAGATGCATACTCAAGGAGGCTTGCAATCTCAAGTGAGATGCCATTTTCAATTTGAGATGCATTTCAGTGAGATGTGCTTCCTTAGTGAGATGCGCTTCCTAGCGAAATGTCCATTCTGTTACAAAATTCTTAATTCTCTTGATTCCAGGCTGCACCTTATATTATCTCTGATTTTAGCTATTTTATAAAACAAGGCTAGCTTGATTTCCCAGTAGATACAAGTACTTAACACGTAATTAATAAGTAATTAACAAGTAATTAACATGTCCCAAGTGGAAATGTTGTTTGCAGCAGTACTGTGTGTCTAGTGCCTAGTTCCCTGGCTAGAAGTGTGGAGAGGATGTTTAATACTGGTCCCAGATATGGTTAATGTTACTTGTGGAGGGCACAAACATTTCCTATTGTTAATCAAAGTTGGTGAGTTCATATGTAACAGTCTTAGTAAACCCATGTAAACTCCTTATTTAATTAAATAATGCTATTTCGTATCTTTACACTCTGATTCAGTCCTCACTGAAGGTGTTGGGTAATGTAATTCAATTTTAAAGCACGAAAACAACTGTACTACTAGTACTATGACTGCGACCAATTGTTTGAGAACTGATAAGGGTTATCATATTTAGGGGGGGGGCCAATGACTACCAATGGAGACTTTTGGGGACTAATGGGGACTAAAAATAATGGGGACTGGAGGTCAACTCGTTGACGTAATTCACCATTTGTCCCCATAATAATTAATAATTATAACTCGTGCAAGTCCGAAATGGGCCGTGTGCTGCTTCTAGGAAGTACATATATGACAGTGCATATCAGCACACTGTTGGCTTTCTTAGAGACCTGATGAGAACCAAGCGGAAATCATGATTGCCTGGTAAGCAAGTTCACACTCATTCCGAATGGCGGTAGACTTTACAGCTACACTGCAGCTTACACTGTAGTGGGAATCGCGTCACTGATATCCTCCGAGCATAATTACCAGGATAAATCCTGTACCAATCACAGCTTGGTGACCTGGCCTGCCTGCCTCAGACGGGGTTTGAACCCCGGTCTTCCGCTTGGGAGGCGAGTGAATTACCACTACACCACCCGGCCGACAAAAATGTCGGTGTCCCCATAAGTCCCCAGAATTTTTGACAGTTATTTATGGTTTCCAAGTTAGTTTAATAACGATACGATCGAGATGTTTTGTCCAAGATAAGAGTAGGATAAACCTGACTTAAAAGTAAAATGATAAGCCCGGTTGTAATGTGTTCTACCACTGTACAAGTCAGTTCAGATTGAGGTAAATTGAAGTTTAGCTCTCGTGAAGGTAGAAGTAGCCGACTCGCTGAACTATCTGAATCTTATAATCGAATGAAAAATCATGAATTAACCCTTCGACTTACCCTCCTAATACACTTAAAGATGTTAGATGATGGGTGAATGAGTATTTATAACAGCCGTTCTGACAACAGACTTGGTGATCTTTATTTTAAGGGGGGGGGGTGACATGTCTCCAATGTCTCCAATGTCTTTTTTGAAAAGATAGGGTGCAGAGACATGTCCTGGAGACATTGGAAACATTGGAGACACAGCTTTTGGAGACATTGGAGACATTGGAGACATTGGGGACATTTGAGACATTGGTGACAAAGCTTTTGGAGACATTGGAGACATTGAAGACACTGGAGACGTAGATGTATGATTGGAGAAAGAGGAGGATCAAGGAGGAGGACTGAGGAGTACTGAGGAGGATGGCTGAGGAGGATGACTGAGGAGGATGACTGAGGAGGATGACTGAGAGGGAGGAGGAGGAGAAGAAGGACTGAGGAGAAGGAGAAGGAGGAGGACCTAGGAGGATGAGGACCAGGAGGAGGACTCAGGAGGAAGAGGAAGAGGACTCAGGAGGACTGAAAAGGAAGAGGACTGAGGAGAACTGAGGTGGAGGAGGACTGAATAGGAGGAGGAGGGGGGACTGGGGGAGGACTGAGGATGAAGAAGACTGACGAGAAGGATGAGGAGGAGGACTGAGGACTGAGGAGGATGAAGAGGAGGAAGACCCAGGAGGAGGAGGGATGAGGACTGAGGAGGATGGCTGAGGAGGATGGCTGAGGAGGATGACTGAGGAGGATGACTGAGAGGGAGGAGGAGGAAGAGGACTGAGGAGGAGTAGGACTGAGGAGGAGAAAGAGGAGGACCTAGGAGGAGGTGGACCCAGAAGGAGGACTCAGGAGGAGGAGGAGGAGATCTCAGGAAGAGGACTGAGGAGGACTGAGAAGGACTGAGGAGGAGAAGGAGAAGGTGGAGGAACTAAGAGGAGGATGAACCAGGAGGAGGACTCAGGAGGAGGACTTAGGAGGAATAAGAAGGAGGAGGACTCAGGAGAACTGATGAGGAGGAGGAGGAGGACTGAATAGGAGGAGGAGGGGGACTGGGGAGGACTGAGGAGGAGGAGGACTGACGAGAAGGATGAGGAGGAGGACTGGGGACTGAGGACTGCAAGGAGGATGAAGAGGAGGAAGACCCAGGAGGAGGAGGGATGAGGACTGAGGAGGACTGAGGAGGATGGCTGAGGAGGATGGCTGAGGAGGATGACTGAGAGGGAGGAGGAGGAAGAGGACTGAGGAGGAGGAGTGGGACTGAGGAGGAGAAAGAGGAGGACCTAGGAGAAGGAGGACCCAGAAGGAGGACTCAGGAGGAGGAGGAGATCTCAGGAAGAGGACTGAGGAGGACTGAGAGGGAGGAGGACTCAGGAGTACTGAAGAGGATGACTGAGGAGGAGGAGGAGAAGGAGAACGACTGAGGAGGAGAAGGAGAAGGTGGAGGAACTAAGAGGAGGATGAACCAGGAGGAGGACTCAGGAGGAAGAGGAGGAGGACTCAGGAGGAGGACTTAGGAGGAATGAGAAGGAGGAGGACTGAGGAGAACTGAGGAGGAGGAGGAGGAGGACTGAATAGGAGGAGGAGGGGGACTGGGGAGGACTGAGGAAGAGGAGGAGGATGAAGAGGACCCAGGAGGAGGAGGACTGAAGAGGAGGATGAGGACTGAGGAGGAGGAGGAGGACTGAGGAGGATGGCTGAGGAGGATGACTGAGAGGGAGGAGGAGGACTGAGGAGGAGGAGGAGAAGGACTGAGGAGGAGAAGGAGGAGGACCTAGGAGGAGGAGTACTGATGAGGAGGACTGATGAGGATGGCTGAGGAGGATGGCTGAGGAGCACGGCTGAGGAGGATGGCTGAGGAGGATGACTGAGGAGGATGACTGAGAGGGAGGAGGAGGAGGAGGAGAAGGACTGAGGAGGAGGAGGAGAAGGAGGAGGACCTAGGAGGAGGAGGACTCAGGAAGAGGAGGAGGACTCAGGAGGAGGACTTACAAGGAGGAGGACTGAGGAGAACTGAGGAGGAGGAGGATGAGGACTGAATAGGAGGAGGATGGGGACTGGGGGAGGACTGAGGAGGAGGGGGACTTGGGAGGACTGATGAGGAGGAGGAAGACTGACGAGAAGGATGAGGAGGAGGACTGAGGAGGAGGACTGATGATTGAGGAGGAAGAGGAGGATGATGAAGAGGAGTAGGAGGACCCAGGAGGTCCGGAGGAGGACCCATGAGGTCCGGAGGAGGACCCAGGAGGTCCGGAGGAGGAACCAGGAGGAGGACCAAGGTCCCAGGAGGAAGACTCAGGAGGAGGAGAACGACTGAGGAGGACTGAGGGGGAGGAGGAGGAGGAGGAGGAGGAGGAGTCTCCAAAAGCTGTGTCTCCAATGTCTCCAATGTCTCCAAAAGCTGTGTCTCCAATGTCTCCAATGTCTTTGTCTTTTTCGAAAAGATAAGGTGCGGGAGACATTGGAGACATGTCACCCCCCCCCCCCCCCCCCCCCCCCCCCCCCACTGGCAAGCACTCCTTTGTGAATATTTCCATAAATGATCGTCAAAAACAAAAGAAACCAACGCCAATTTCAAATTACTGAGCATATCATTTCAGACAAATAAATACAAAAGTAATAAGAAAAATTGATAATGCGTTTATTTTCCTTGCGCTACAACTCGTGTTACTAGATCAATCTGATAAAATAAGCGTATATATGCAATATGTCTCCTCAATGTTGTCATTGGTAGTCGCCCCCGCCCCCTCCCTTAATTTACCTGAGGTACTCTAACAGCCCTCAAGTAGCTCCCAAGAAGTCAGGAATGTCCAGTGACCATTTATAAATATTCTAGACTTCAGTCTTGAGAAGTTTACGATCTGGTCTGGAGAAGCCAGATTTTTTGAAATCTAAATGGGGACTAATGGAGACTTTTGGGGACTAATGGGGACTAAAAATCATGGGGACTCGGGGTAAAATCGTTGACGTAATTCCCCAAGTCCCCAAAAGTAGTCATTGGCCCCCCCCCCCCCCCCCCCCCCCCCCCATATTTATCAATCAAGTAAATAACTTGTTATGAAATAATGTATATTACCAGGTAACACTGGATGCGCTGGACCCAGATCTTTCTCTAGGGGTGTTGAACTTACAAGCCAGAGACAGTGAATCTGAGGACGAGGGGAATTTGTCGTACGACCTAGTCAAAGAAGGGTAAGTTCATCAATTATATTTTATAGATATAATAGATACTGATGTGAAAGTGAACCAAATTTGTTTTGACACCGATAGTGATTCCTGGTTTTGATTTGTCAACGCTGAAAGCTGATCCGTTAATCGTATCAGAAATAATATTGTCACCTTCCCACAAGAGTCCATATCTTAAATCCTCCTCAAAGTTTGGAGTTTTTAATTTATATACAAGAGTCATTCCTGTAAATATGTATTTCATTTAATGCACTATTCAAACTTATTCGTCAAAATCGCTTTATAGAGTGTTAAACTAATATCAGATATTAGTTTCAAAATATCACCTGCAAGGAATAGGAAGTATCATCATATCATTATCAAATATTTATTATATAGTAAAACCCCGATTTACCGCGGAGTTTGGGGAAGGGATGCATCCGCGATAAATCCGGGTCCACGGTAAATTGGTGTTACATTTCGTTAGTTTTACTTTTACATTATGCATGGTAAGCCCTATTTTAGGGAAATGAAATGGCCGCGGTAAATCGGGGATGCAGTAAATTGGGGCGCGGTAAATCGGGGTTTTACTGTAACTCAAGTCTCAACAAGTACAACTATAATATTGTTGGGATTTTAAAGATATATAATTCACCTCAGTTGTATTAAGGACTCGACCTTCGACTTCATCGACACTGATTCCAACTCTCAGCCACTCTCCGACCCCAAAGTGAAAAGATTTACTTTTAAATCTTTTAGCTTTTTGGATTCCCACACTGCAATTTTCATCCATGCAGTTCTAAAAGTCTGCAGTGTCTCGAATAGCAGGTAATTTGTCGTAATATCTGTTTTGGACTTCCTACAATAATATTGTATAGTCTGAGTGCATTATTTAGGAACTTTTTTAACATTCAAAAACTTTCTGTTAGAATTTGAATAATGAAACAATTAAATATTAAGGCTGACCTTTCCCACTTACCTTTATTCCTTAATACCGTACTAAAACCCGTATCCATCACCTTAATGGATTCCCAGTTAGTAAGTAATAGTACTAATTAAGGATCGAGCTCTAATATATAATATACTATATTATATTTATAGTTCCTCGTCGATTATTCGATTAACATTTTATACTCCACCGCATCTTATCATTTTCTAATTCTTTCAGTTTTGGCTGCACAGATCTATGTTCAAACGGCAGACGGAAGAGGTCCGTTGACGGAAAAAGTGAACTAAACGACGGACGGTTCCATGTCTATCAGGGACCAATGGTAGCTGGGTACCCCATTGAAACCAAAGGTGAGATAGAAATTACAAACCCGATTCTTTGATTCCAGGCCAGCTGAATTTACGAGCAATATTTAGCTTATTGTCAAAAATTTCTATATATTTCATACTTGATCAGGGACTAGCCCTAACTCTAAGTTCATGGTTGCGTGAGGCCAATATAATAACATTTACAATTTGCATCTGGTAGAATTTTGTAGCTCACGAAATTATCCAAACATTAAATATAAGTTTTTCAGTGGCAACGGGTTCGGGAGGTGATATAAAACTGGGATCGGAAGTTTTGACTGTGCTCCTCCTGCTGCACCTCCTCTTGTAAAATAAGAATAAGCTAACTCGCGGTTAGTAGTGAACTAACACTATAACTATGGACAGTTTATTCTAAACATTATTATGACCTTTGATCAATACTAATTCTTTTTATTTATAAAAATTATGAAGACACTCTGATTCTAATTTTTAAACTTTAGAGCATTATCATTATGTTGCCATGAAACCCACTAAATTATTTCGCAAATTATGAGATTTTAAATGGTTTGAAACACACGACAGTTTCATGTAGTAGATTAAATATTTAATTGTATGTTATACTGCATGCAAGATGGTATGCTTTTGGTTTTAATGTAGCCGTAGGGGCGTATCGAATCGTTTTAATTAGTTGAAGTGTCTCGTCACCTTTGTTGGACATGAAAGTTTGTTAATCTGATCGCAGCTCAAATATTGTATTTCTAATAGTATTAGTAATCTTGAATGGCTGAATAAGTGTGTTTAATTTCTCCCTGTGCAACATCGCTTAATCAATAAACATTTTTCTAAAAGTGGTAATTTCAGTAGTTGAAAACACCTTGAATCGTTGTAACTTTAGATGCTAATACCGAATCACTAACATTACATATAAGAAATTAAGGGAAAATAATGCTTCCCTACTGAGTAATGGTAATATTTAAAAGCTGTTTTGATCCAGTAAAATGCCATAATGCTTAAGGAAATAATATTATTATTAAATTTCCTGTTTCAGTGAAAGCAGTATTAATGACATTCTCACTTTTCAGAACTAAGTGCCTAATATAATTAAGATATAACATCTCAACAGTTGTATTCCTGTTCCATATGATCGAGGATAGTCAGGGCTACAAAACCTGACCAAGTTTAGCTCAATCCAGTACTGCGCGTTCGAGATATGAGGTTAAATATACCAAAAATAAGGGTTTTCTGGTGTGACATCATTGTAAATTTTTTGGAGTATAACCTCAATATCTCACAAACTATCCATTTGTGGTCTTTCTGAGTTACACTATCTGTTTCCTCTGGCAATTTCGGTTCAGAGTCAATTAAGTTTGAAACAAAATCTCAGTAAATGTGAAAGTTCTGAGGATATCAAGTTTGTAACAAGCGCGCGCGCGCGCGCGCGCGCACACACATATGACCTCATATCTTCCACATTTAATGATTTTTCATGGAAATTCTTTCACCATCCTGTAGCACTCATGTGCTGAGTAGGATAGCATTCTAATCATGTCTTTAAAAGCTTTAGATAGATACTGAGGGAGAAAATTCATGCTTGTAACAAGCGCGCGCGCGCGCGCGCGCGCGCATGGCCCAGACTATATGATCAATGGACGGGAGGATTAAAGTACTTTCATACACACCAGCATACTCATTGATGGCTTAAAATGAAGCTAAGACATACTCCTATCAGATCCACCATAAGTTAGATACCATCATAATCATTAAATGTGTCTAAAATGAGGAAGCTTTGACAAGTGCGAGTGGTTTTGGCAAATTTTGGTATAAAATGGGCCCTGAGATCATATTTTTCTCATTAAAATCACATATATCACGAATATTTGTGTGTGTTGGGTGTATCCTCATTGGTATCAACCATTTCAATCATCTAGAGCAGCTTTCCTGATTCTTTATCTCATGAAAATGGGCAAAAAAGCTCACAAATAGTCCAAAACCGGTCATTTTCGCCGCTTTATTAACCTCATTCCTGGCACCCAGAACACTTTGGGTACTCAAAACATGATTTTTCGGATACCTCAGATCCCCAACTAGCACATGGAGCCAGAAAGAACAGCATGTAGAGACTTTTAAATTTCCATGGTTGAGAACCCAATGTCACACTATTCGTTCATTAATCCTGCTTTCACTGGTTTGGTTCATGATCTTTGCAAATGATTTAAATTGATTGAGGGGTAAGGTTACTGTGAGTGTTGGGAGAACAATAACTTTGAATGTTTGACTTAAGAAATAGTCATGTGATTAAGTAAGTCACGTGATAAGCGTCACCGTCACCAGTGGCGTAACGTCACCTGACACACCAATCCCTATGCGTGGCGCTCTTTTTGCATATCTGTGAGAGAAGTTAGCAATAGTTATAGACTAGCAGTACTCAGTAGTAAGCAAAGTAACCGTCACTGTCCCAAGGAAAAAATGGTAGCCTATTTTTTATTTGAAAATTCAATTAATCATTACATATAATTTCAGTTTTAATACTTTCAACACTACTATATAACAAATAATTTGAGGATGTCGAAAAAGAATGTCAGTCAAGCAAGTTCGCAAGTAATGCAGCACTAATCGGAAAAGGTGTGTGGGGGTGATGCGGGGTGGCCGGGTCGTGTACTCAGAAGACTAGCCATGGACTCTTGAAGCAAGTTGAGTAATTATCATTTTCTACAATCAGCATCAACACCATCATAAACATCATCATTCACATCCACGTGACCCTACCCTGACCCTACTTTTAACCTTGTGAACTTGCTTGGCTGCAGTCTGGATATCCTCAAATGTTTGTATATATATGATACTGCTGTATGTAGTGTTGAAATGTATGATGATTACGGTTTGCACTCAAATAGAAGTGCCACAATAAAATAACAGTTATTATAAGCAATGGTTTTGTGAACCACTGCAAATATTAAAACGTATTGATAAGTACGTACTTTATTGCTGATTTAATGTATGACAAACTTAAATTTAAATTTATACTGATATCTTTGATTGTTATAACTCTAAAAGTATCAATAGTTCTATGAGATGTTTATTAATTTTTTAAATTATGAACATTGTACTTGAGGTTTAGCTGTGGTTTTATTATTATGCTGTCCTATTCGTGTTATAGTTAGAAGATTATTCGACCCAAGACAGTTGGTCAATGGAAATCTAAAAAGTGAAGATATCCACCTGCAGTCTTGCAAAATCCCTCCCCCCACTTTTTCCCCCTCTGCCACCCGCACTTTTTTTTTTTTTTTTTTTTTTTTTTTTTTTTTTTTTTTTTTTTAAATTCTAAAATATATATATAATACCCGCGGACTATTTACCCTTTATATGTGTACATCCATTCAGATTTGAGATTCTAACTAATATTTGTGTGCGATTGTTTATTGATAAAGTTGAAAATTTACATTGAATATGATTTAGCAGCCCCTCCTTACCCCAGCCCCTTCCCCATCATTGCACATTCACTCCATTTTACATCTCATCCAACACATTTGACGTTTCAGTATACTTTATTTATTTTCAATCGTACTTTATAACTCATTAACTAGCCTTAAATCTACTGGTGATTCTGCTAAGCTTAACGTGATCACTGATAAATTTATGTTACTCATCTCACTGCCGCCTAGCTTGTTTCAGGTTTACTGGTCTGGTTCGATGGGTCTGACCCTGGCCCCCTCCGCTCACCCCTGTACTCCGCATCCATTATCACCATGAAAGGGAACGACAAGAAACTCGACAGGAGATCGGACCTCTTTAATGCCACGTCTCGAGGGTGCAAGTCAGCTGGATCCACCCCTATTTCAAGCCCTGTTTTAAGCCGAAAAGTCACTAGCAGATTGCATAGTAGGAACACAGATCTAGATGCAGATCTAACATCTGACGGAGACTTTGTTGATGTAGAGAGCAACGAACCAGCAGCGATCCCAGGCACGCTACTCTCTAAGTGTCCCTGCTTTGTAGAGTCAAAGAACCCCGCAATCTTATGTGTTAATTGTAAGCAGACCTTCCATGCCACCTGTGTTAACCTGGCTGGCCTCACAATAGCTTCTCTGAGGAAGCTCAGCACTTCCTGGAAGTGCCCGGACTGCTTTATCTTTCCTTACACAAGAAGATTGAAGGAGGAGGATAAATCCAAAGCCTTAACAGAATTCTTTAGCAACATTGCTAAGATATCCAAATGTAATGAGGACCTCAAAGATAGTACAACAACCATAGAGTTCTTCAACGAGCATATCAAACACCTCATACTCAAGGAGGACAGTTACAAAGATCACTCCAAAAAAACAGAACGATTAGTAACTGGAATTGAAGACATCACTGAAGACATAGCTGTTATCAAGGATGTACTTACGAAAGTAAAGGAGAGTGGCTCAGCTCTTGAGACAACCAGTTATTCTCTCAAACAGGAGATTGATGACCTGAAGGACTCTCTCAAAAGTATTCCTATTACAGAGCAACCCCCGACCAACAGCAGTACTTTCGATCATGTTGATAACCTGATGACCCAGATCAAAGTGCAATTGGAAAAGATCAATGATCATGTTTGTCCCTCAACGTCCACACAGAAATTTGATGAAGGTGAACTACCCAACAACGACTCTATCGTTATGACCCCTAACACTACTTCCCCTCACTTTGCTCCATCTCAAATTTCTATAGACCCTGCATGTGACCCTTATATAACTTATCAGGAAGATATAGTGCCTGTTGAGCTTCACAGCAAACTTATAAAGCTGCTGGAGGACAGTAGTGCAGATTTTTCTTCGGTTGGTGGCAGCAGGGATGTCATCTACTTTGGTGAACATGGATACTGGTATACAGGAGCATATCATCAGGCAAAGGAAACTCCAGTAGAGATACAAGATCTTTTGGACTGTGTGCGCCCCTCTCTCCCCAATAGGAAGAGCTGGCTGAACTCTTGCCTTGTAACAAGATATACAGGCAACAGTAGCCATATCCCTCAGCACTGTGACAATGAGGTACTTATTGACCCTGAATCAATAATAGTCACTGTGTCTCTTGGTGAAGAACGCACAATAAAGTTCACTCATAAGTCGACTGAAAAGTCCTTAAAGCTCAAAGATGGAAGTGTGTACGTGATGTCCAGGTTGTCCCAGGAAATCTGGAATCATGGTATTGAACCTCTCACTAATGAAGAAGATGAAGAAGAATCTGATGAGAAAAATTCTGTGAGGTACAGCTTTACCTTTAGGCATATTGCGCCTTACTACAAAAATAGCACAGTTTTAATTGGGGACTCAAACACTAAATACATTAAATTTGGTAAAGATGTTGGAACTCTCGGAAAATGGGTTCCTGGTAAGCGAATGTGGGCTGCTAAAATTGACGATATTCCTGCTCCGAAAGACATAGGCCCTTATCGGAACATTGTTATACACACGGGAATCAATGATATTCGGGATGATTCCAACAGACCATCTACTAGAACACTTATTGCTAAGCTTAAGAAGAAATGTAGTGAAATTCAGCAATTTTATCCTAATAGTAAAGTTCATATTAGTCTACTCTTGCCCACTAAATCACAGTTTGTTAACTCACGTATAGGGGAGTTAAACAGTTTAATTGTCGACATGGTTTATAATAGGAAAAACATGTTTATTATAGATAACTCTGTACTAGGTTCTGTTAACGGATGCATGCCTTCTAAGTATGGTCGATTCTCACGTGATGGCACACCATTGGTCAATGATGTTGTACATCTCGGAAGAGAAGGCCTGAAAATATTTTGCATGAGTATAAAACGATGTATTGTACAACGTGGTGGAAGTCAGTCCACGGAAAGATTTAAAGGTGGAAATGGTGACTATAGGAGTGCCCTAAGTAGGGGTAGTAGGGGTGATATCTTACCGATATGACCTCAATAAACTTTAATATTACAAGAGAGAGATGTCCAGGTTGTGATAGCAATGTACTAAGCCATCATAAAGTCATAATATGTGAGTGTTGCGATACAATATATCATGCCAAATGTTCTGAACAGAGCTTTAAATTTGACCATGTTAAACAAATGTGGCACTGCAGTCAATGTTTCGCCTTCAAATCCCAAAGGTACAATCCTTTCAACTCAATTATTTATGACAAATATGATCCCAACACTGTAGAAAGAGACGAAGATATGGAGACTATTTCAAACATTCTAAAAGACTGTAGGTCTTATAACATGACAAATTTCAACCGGCTGTCAAAAAACATACTTAACCATAACAAGCCGTTTATATCTATTGTGTTTAACAACATTGATGGGAACGCATCTAACTTTGACAGCTTTATTACTGATATGAGTCAATATGATGAGAAATTTGCAGTTATTGCGCTAGCTGAAACAAACATTGATGAGGAAAATAAAGATTTATACAAAATTGATGGTTACAGCAGTGAGTATAACTCCAAAACTGATGGGAAAAAGAAAGGTAGTGGCCTTGGTGTATATATTGACAATAAGTACCAATACAGCCGAATCGAAAAGTTATGTAAATGCTCTGACAATCTTGAAACACTTTTCGTTGAGATCACTAACACAGAGGTTCCACAGATTGCTGGTGTTGTCTACAGGCCCCCTAGTGGTGATATTCTAGATGCACTTGCTGAGCTTGACGTGTTGATGAAATTCCTACCGTCTAATAATGTAGCCTTGACAGGTGACTTCAATGTTGATCTTTTGGCCCAGGGACGAAACATAGCTGAATTTGAACAAACTATCTACAGTAACAATTTAATCCCTTTGATATCGATTGCCACCCATGCCAAGCCGGGTTGCAACGAAAGCTTAATTGATAATATTTTAGTGAACTCTACTGAGCGTGTCTTAGGATCTGGAATTCTTGAATCCAAGATTTCCCATCATAACCCAATCTTCTGTTTCATATCGTGTAATACTAAAGAGAGTCCAAATGATACCAAACTTAAACCTAAGTATGATTACTGTGAGTCTAATATAGAAAGCTTCCTTAATGATATTGGAAGGGATATCTACCGATCGAACTTTTCGTATGATGAGGAAGGTTTTGAAAAATTTGTCGAAACTGTCCATGAAAAAATCAAACTGAATTTCAAATTGGACTCTACTGCTGGTTTTCAATCAAAACGCAATAGATTGATGAATCCATGGATCACTTCTGCGTTAATTAAATCTGTGTTTACTAAAGGCTTTCACTACAAGCGATGGAAGGCTTCGTGTACCAAAATGAACCCATTAGGTGAGGAAACTTTATATCTTAAGTATAAGGAGTATCGTTCTATCCTAAACAAAGCTATAAAATCTGCGAAAAAAGCCCACTATGGAAAAAAATTTGAACTTGCTAAAGGAAATATTAAAAAAACCTGGGAATTGATTAACGAACTCAGGGGTAAATCTAAAAAAGATATAAAAGCATCATTCTTAATTGATGGTCGAATTGTAACTGAACGCCGTGAGATTGCTAACGGATTTAACATCTACTTCTCGTCTATTGCTCGTAATCTTAATTCAAAAGTTCAATCTTCTGTACCATCTCGTACGGTAACTGAT